GGACTTCTGTCGCACAACATAGCTGTCCATAGAGGCCTGTACCTCTCGTTCCTTTATCCTAAAGTGTTTCACAACATTGTCAGTGTAATAGTCACCAGCACGGCTTGCAATACCTGTGCGAGGGTGATTTTCATCAAAAAAGGTTTGCACTTTAAGCCACATTGCACACATTTCCTTAATCTTTGAAGTAGGCAACTTCTTCAATTTCTCTCTCCCATCCTCCGAAGCAGTTTCCTCAGGTGTGGCCTCTTACTGTTGAAGATGATCTAGCAGCTCATCAGTGGTTTGTTCTTCATTGTCCTCCTCCACCAACTCTTCCACATCCTCCCCACTAACCTCACCAATATGAGCACTAGTTCCAGGCATTTTTTCCTGTTCACCTGGGTGTTAGTCAACTGTTGTGGGTTGCATCCTGGGGGACAAGATTAAGGACCCCCAATGGAAATAAGTTAGACAGTCCTTGATGATGCACTGACTTTCTTGGGTTATCCTGGGTGGCTAACCCTCCGGGGTTAATCGTTTCTCGGTAATTGTTTCACGTTAAGCCACACCAACAACACTCTCTCCACATCTTCGAGTAATACAGCTGATGGTGGTGTAGCAACAACAACAGCTGACTGTGGTGCAGCAGCAGCTGCACCTTTGGCAAGAACAGCTTCCTTGATTGCCGTTTTCTTACCCACAATAGTAGCGGTGGTTGATTGGGGTTTATTATACAACCTGACCAGCTCAGAGACACGCACTCCACTTTCATACTTAGCAATGATCTCTTTCTTCATCTCCATAGTAATTCTCACCCTTTTTGCTGTAGGGTTGGCACTAGAAGCTTTCTTGGGGCCCATGGTGACTTATTTTGCAGGTGCAATCACTACAAAGGCTGTGATAATATGAAATGTTCCAGTTGTTGTATGTTTGGAAGCGACCGCAGTGGCTGGCTGGCTTGTAAGCACTGACACCCAAGGGACAAGTGAGGCGCGCTCAGGCCAAAGTGGACGCATATGGTACAGAACGAATAGCGCTGGTCGCGTTTTTAAGCGCTAGTTGAGGCAAAATTTTTGCGTTTAAATGTATCGCTAGTCAGATTTATCGTTAATCAATGCCATCGCTGGTTAAGGGTCCACTGTATTCCCATAATATAATTTCAATATTTATTTTTGAAACTATTGTAATTAGAGTAAAATTACTGTCAACTATAAATATAAAAAAGTACAACTTAAACAAACTATGACCAATTTCTTTAGTATAAAGTAGTCTGTAAGCCATTAAATTAAGTCTGCCCATAATGCCTAGGCATGATAGTGGCTCTCTTTGCACTGCAGCTCATTATTCTAATTTCATAATCTCAATGTAATCTTGCAAAGAAATAAATTTTGTTTGTTTGTTTTATATAGGAAAGCACTGGTTTGATAATAGAGTTGTGGACGAGTGGAACAAACTGAGTGCCGTCATAGAGGCTAAGATGTTGTGCAGTTTTAAAAATAGGTTAGATAAATACATGAGTAGTTGTGGGTGGGTGTGAGTTGGACCTGACTAGCTTGTGCTACTAGGTCAGATGCCATGCTCCTTCCTGACCTCACTAGGTTAGGGTGTTGGCTTAAGTCGATAGGACAATTGGACCTGCCTCGCATGGGCCAGTAGGTATGCTGCAATGTTCCTTCTTTCTTATGTTCTTATTGAATGCACCCAAGAGATTATATGGTGTCAAGAGTAGCAAGACTCTTAGTGATTTTAATGTGTACCTGCATGCCAGCACAGTGTGTAAGTATATTTAGGTGTGTATATATAGTACAGTGCCTGCACTCTGAAGGAGGGGTGTTAATGTTGCAGTTTAAAAACTGTAGTGTAAAGCACCCTTCTGGCAAGACAGTGATGGAGTGAATGATGGTGAAAGTTTTTCTTTTTCGGGCCACCCTGCCTTGGTGGGAATCGGCCGGTGTGATAATAAAAAAAATAAAAATAAAATATTTAGGTGAGCGTGTTTGATAGGAGTGAATGGAGACAAATGGTTTTTAATACTTGACGTGCTGTTGGAGTGTGAGCAAAGTAACATTTATGAAGGGATTCAGGGAAACCGGCAGGCCGGACTTGAGTTCTGGAGATGGGAAGTACAGTGCCTGCACTCTGAAGGAGGGGTGTTAATGTTGCAGTTTAAAAAACTGTAGTGTAAAGCACCCTTCTGGCAAGACAGTGATGGAGTGAATGATGGTGAAAGTTTTTCTTTTTCGGGCCACCCTGCCTTGGTGGGAATCGGCCAGTGTGATAATAAAAAAATAATAATAGGTACACCTAAGTATAATTATAAGAGTATATGTAAAATACACAATAATTTTAAAACACTTGAAATTTTTGAAAATTTCCAGACATAATAGAGATATATGCTCACAGAGAATGTAAACAAACCAGGTGGGGGGCGCCGTATTTGAAAGACTGCTCGCCATATAGCAAGTTTTGGTCATAATTTGAAATCGCCATATTAGTGGAATACTGTAAGGCAAAGCACCGCAAAGTGGGGCCCTACTGTATGCAGCCTTTCCTCACTTAACGACGGAGTTCTGTTCCTAAGACCATGTTGGTAAATGAATTCATCGCTAAGCATGGCACATACTATAATGGTAACAGGTTTGTGTCAACCATCTTTGATATTGTTTTAACCCTTTGAGGGTCCAGAGGCCAAATCTCAGAGTGACAGCCAGGGTCCAAGAATTTAAAAAAAAAATTATTTTTCTTATGAAATGGTAGAGAATCTTTTTGTGAAGGTAATAAAACAAAAAGTATGAAATTTGATTGAAAATTGATGAAATTATGCTCTTGTGAATTTTACTGCGTCAGTGATATTTGCACATCGGCGATTTTGCCGACTTTGACTCCCATTTTAGGCCAATTACATTATTCCAATTGACCAAATTCTTAGCTATTTCACTAGTATTACTTCTGTTTTATTGCTTGAGCACAAGAAATTGCCTAGTCAACTGTTTCAACTACCCAATAAAGTGATCAGAAATTAATAATATGGTCAATTCAACACAAAGTTCAAAATATCCCAATTTCAAAATAGGATCCAGAATAAACAATGCAGGCATTCCTGGCAGTAAACTGGCATTTCCTCTGTTTATTAGTTATGTTTTCAGGCTTTACTAATGAATTACATTTTTATTTTTTATTCACATAATGAATTTTTATTCACACCAAAAAATAGAAGATTTACTTTTATGCAATATTGTAATAATTGTATAAATAATATCCGCACATTTGTGAACATATACTAAACCCACCTGCTAACATGTATTAGACGGGTGACGTCATTTGTTTACTCTTGAACATCGGCAAAAATTGAACATTTCCACAACTTTGAGCTCCTTTTCAAGCCATTTCCAGTTCTAAAACCAATCAAAATCACCTCTTTTACTGTAACATATCTTCCATTCTATCAAATGAGACCAAGAAATCTTGAATACAACTGTAAAAAGCATATAAAAAACACTGCAAAGTCACTGTTTTAATCCAGTTTTTTTTTCCATTATGCACTGCATGCTGCAGTATTTGTTTTATGTGGTTCACACTTACCACATAGATGTATTCTCTCATATTTAGGCCCAAATTTACCACTTACAGCTTATCTGAGGGAGCTGAGCTCAAGCCATAGTTCTACGGCTTGGAACCTTGCTTCAAAGCCGTAGAACTATGGGACGGACCCTCAAAGGGTTAATGTCTCCTTTGCACCATTTATAACATTTTTAGTATATTTCTAAATATTTATACAGTAGGGTACTGTACATTCTAATAAACAGAATAGAGGAAATGAGCTCTAATGTACATTATTTAAGTATGCATATTGGTCAGAGAGCCCGTCGTAAATCTGAGTCGTTGGTATAAAGTACGTCACTTAGGAGAGGCTGTATGTGCTTTGTTTCTGAATATTTTTCAGCAACATAATTAAAGAAGTAACCTTCGTTGAAGTAATTGATACTAGGTACAGTGAGTTTTAATGGTTATCAGTGAGGTAATCTATAACTTGGCTAGGAGTGTTTGGGATTTTGCTGGCTAGATTTTTTCTTAGAGTTATTGAAAATTCTTCTATTTTATTTACTGTCTCAGAGGCCTGTAGTGGAGGTTCATTAAGTTTAGTTACATTGGTCGTTAAATTAATCTGGACTTCCCCTTTATTATTATGAAAAGCGTTAAAAAGCAACAATATAAACATTATAGAAGAAAAACTGTAATACTTAAAGCTTACAATAGTATTTTGTTGTCTTCCCCTTGGCCTTGATGATTATTTGAAGTCGTTTAGGCATGTTTTCACTCAAATTTCTGAAGTAATCAATGGATAACTGGTTGACCCAAGTGTTCTTGATCTCCTGCTGTAGGCACGACATGGATGAAATATGGCAGAATTCTGTCTTGTTTTCATGATATTCCAGGCATTCTCAATAGGACTGAGGTCTGGACTATTCCCTGGCCACTGTAAAACCTCAATATTTTTCTCAGCAAGTCACTTAGTGACTTTTTTTGACCGTAAGATCTGCTGGACCTGCCTCCATTATAAACAGTATAAAGCAGTTCAGATTCATATTGCATATTTGATGTATTAATACAACACCCTAGACCACTGACATAGCATTATTAGAACATCATAGAACACTGATTTAGCAGTATTGGAACACCTTTGACCACTTACTTAGCAATATTGGAATACCCTTGACTATAGTAGTACATTGTATTTCCATTCTTGACTGTTGAATGATGTGTGTAAGCACCTCACTAGTTCTACCAGGACTGCTTGTCATGAGCAGCATCAAGCTGTCTAAGGCAGTATGCAATAAATTGACTTGATTTTATTTATAGGGAATAGCACTGAAAAAATATCCTAGCATAATTTTGATTGTAGTTTAATAGGTTAGGTAGTAGACAGGGTAAGTATTGCTTTAAATATGATATTATTGGAAAAATAAGGAATTTTCTACAAATAACATAATTTATAAAGTGTTTCATCTGTATTTTAGGAATCCAAGAGTATATAGAGGCCCTGTCCTTCCACTTCTTCTTGCTCACAGAAACCATCATCAGTCACAACGAGGTTCAGGGACGCCTGACTTTTGGCTCTCAAGATCAAACTGACATAGTGCCCATTAGTGTCCTTGTGCAGGCAAAGGAATATATACTTGGTATTGCTGATCTTACAGGAGAGCTCATGCGTTTCTGTATAAAGTGTGTTAGTACAGGGGACTTTGAAATGTGCTTTAAGATCTGTGATGTCCTCAAGAAAATGCATGGAGGATTCTTATCTTTGGGTTATATTCCAGCCAAGGAGCTTTATCACAAAATGATGGTGTTCAGATCTAGTTTACATAAAGTAGAAGAAGCATGTTATTCATTGCAATTGAGGAAATCAGAGGTTCCTGCAGAAATGCTTGGTGATGTGTTTGCTATGTATGATGCAGATGACCAGAATGTTGCATTTGTTTAAATTTATAGCAGCATATTTTATGGAGTGTTCAGATTATAAAAAAAATTTTCCTTTAAAGACATTGGCTATCTCTCACCAAGGCAGGGTGACCCAAAACAAGGAAACACATTAACTATCATTCACTCAGTAGCTGTCTTGCCAGAAGTGTGCAGACCTCACAATTCAATAGACCCTCTGAATTCTTACATCCCTAGGCTTCCTTTAGAGTGCAGGCACAGTACTTTTCACCTCCAGGACTTACATCCAGTTACAGTGGACCCCCGTTTTTCATAATTAATCCGATCCAGAGAGCGTGACTAATGGCGAAATTGATGATTTGCAAAACCATATTCCCCGTAAGAAATAATGTAAATCCAGTTAATCCGTTCCAGACACCCAAAAGTATTAAAACAAAATAATTTTTTTACATGAAATATAGATGTACATACACAGAAAACAATGAGACATGAATAAAACAATAATAACATGAGACTTACCTTTATTGAAGATTCTTCATAGTGTATGGAAGACAGGAGGAGGGGAGAGGATGGAGAAATTACTGTTTGGAAGGGGATTCCCCTTCCATTAAGACTTCAGGTATCAAGTCCTTTTCTGGGGTTACTTCCCTTCTTTGTTTTTTAATGCCACTAGGACCAGCTTGAGTCACTGCACACCTGTGGCACTAAATATCTGGCCAGAGAGCTCTGTTTCTGGCATCTCTTTAAAATTTCCCTAAAATGGGACAAGACATTGTCATTGTACATGTTGCCGACACGGCTTGCAACAGCTTTGTTAGGGTGATGTCCCTCCACAGATCTTTCCATCCTATTCCACATTGCACAAATCTCCCTTACTGCCACCACCTACCACCCTCTCCCACCATCACTACCACCCTTTATCACCATCACAACCACTACCACCCTCTACCACCATCACTACCACCATCACTACCACCCTCTACCACCATCACTACCACCCTCTACCACCATCACTACCACCCTCTACCACCATCACTACCACACTCCCACCATCACTACCACTACCACCCTCTACCACCATCACTACCACCCTCTACCACCATCACTACCACCCTCTACCACCATCACTACCACCCTCTACCACTATCACTACCACCACCACTTTCATATTTTTCTACAATCTTTTTGTTTAATTCTATCGTGTTTGTCACCTTCTTTACCAGATGGCTGGCACTAGCTTTCTTTGGGCCCATGGTGGCTTATTTAGCAGTTTCATGCACTAAAATGAATGGAATATTACAAAAAGTATCGTATGAATGCGTGGTATCGTGCTCACTCACTGATAAACAATGGCACACTGACTGTGAATGGTGTGTGGGGCCGTTCATATACGTTTGGGCCGAACGACTATTTGCAAGTCAAACAATGATTCGCGAGTCAATATTTTGATGAAAAAAGTTACGATTTGCGAAAATTACGAATTCCAGTGCTTACGAAAAACGAGGGTCCACTGTAACTGGTTTTCCTGAATCTCTTCATAAGTGTTACATTGCTCACACTAACAACACAGCAAACTGTAAGAACCACTCACTTCAAACTAACACACACTCACAAGCATGCTAAATACTGAAGCCCCTAGCACTCAAAACCTCCTTATTCCTTCCCTCCCTCCAGCACTTCCTAGAATGACTCTTACCCCTCCTTCCTTGCTACCCAGATTTATACACCCTGCCCAAACCACCTCACCATCACTTCCTCAACCCTCTGAATTTAATTTACCTGTTGATTTATTTATGTTTTCATATCTGTTTGTAGTTATAAGAACAGAGCTATGCTTATGTCACATGTTCACTATAGGTTCCGTATTACATCCTCTTTTCTTCTAGGGGTGCTTGAATGCTGCTGAAGGGCCATTGATCCAAGGAATTGGATTATTACTTTTATAGTTAGGGAAAAGCACTAAACTCAATGGGGTCATACAGTAATTTTAATAATGCAGTCATTTTATGCTCTAAATTCACTGGGGTCATACAGTGGTGTGGGTAGGGGTGTGCAAGAAGTATGGATGTACAAGGGGTAGGGATATACCAACCGTTACCCATTGCATATTGCTACCCTTAATACACTCCTCCCCTGGTACACTCCTACTTACAGGGTCATACAGTGATTGGGGAATAAGAGGCAATCAGGTTCAATCCAACGAAGGGGAGAACAGGTCCAATTATTTGAATAAAGAATCCCTCACCAGCATCAAGAAACTTCCCTTGAGGAACTTATTCTCCCATTCCTCAGATCAAACCTGATTACCTTTCATTTCTTAGCGAGTGAATGACCCAACGGGTTCAACATTTTCCCATGAATACAATATCAAATAATTACAGCTTCTTGGATCCTATTCCAGCAGTCTATCATTATTTGTAATGAAACATTTTCTGCTTGATGTTGCTGTAAAATATTTCTTCTTTATTGTAATTTTTTAAATACATTGGCCATCTTCCACTTGTATTTCTTAGCTCTGGGAGCTGTAGGTGACCACATCTTTGTTGTTATAGTAACAGGTACGTGCTTATTGTGTCCTCTCTTCAAGGTTTTACTTTTCATTTTGTAGTTTCCAATGGTTGTATCACATACTGCCTCCTTTTGGATTTCGATACATTCCGGTACTCTGCCAATCTTTATAAAGAAAATTTTTCTAGTAGTCTTTTGCACTACTTTTTTCTCAGTTAATAAATGTAGTCTTTTGTTTTCTAGGTTGATATTGCTAAGAAATTTTAAAAATTTTTGTTATCTATTTATGATTTTATATATGGATTTATATAATGTCTCTACTTTTCCTCCTTTTGGCCATTGTAAGATTTTTTTGTAGTGTCAGGCATTATTCATAAATTATACAGTATTTTTGACTCTGTAAATCACATTTTGTGTGTGGGCACCACATTCTTGCTGTAAATTCCAGTTTTAAAATAATCTAAATTGTTAACTGCTTTTTTATCATTTCTATAGAAATATATCTGAATTCTGTTTTGATGTCTCTCTCTCTCTCTTTCTTTCTTTCTTTCTTTCTCTCTC